TCAGGTTTGAAGCAAGTGGTGCATTGCTGCAACTGGTATCTCAGGGAAGGAGGGAGTTTAAAGGGGAGGTGGGGGGGGTGGGGTGTTTTAGTGGAGCGGGGGTATAGAGGAGAGCAAGAGGGAGGGAGAGGCTTTTGCAGCAAACTGTTGCTAGGAAACACTTGTGGCATCTCTTCTCCCTCTCCTTGAAATGCCAGAACTAACTGACAGAGAAGCCGGAGTGAAATGTCAGTCCTATCCTCCCAGGAGTTTGAAGAATGTGGCGCGTGTTTCTATTTAAGTAGCCGTGTTTATCAAAGGGGTTCTCAAAGAGTCAACACAAGCCTTTCCTCCGCCGGAGCAGAGTGTGTTTAGGATGCAGACTGGAGTTTCTACTGCTTCTTTCTCGTCTTCTGTTTGTCTGCTTGGCTGTCTTTCTTTGCTTCATCTTTGTTTTTTCCCCATCTCGCTCCGTCACTTCCTCCCCACTCCCTTCCTTAACTCGCTCACTCACTCACAGTTGAGCACCATTACTTTGTCCCTCATTATTCTCCCCTTCCCGTCTGTCTTTTATTGGTCTCCCTCACTCCCCTATTCCCTCTCTCCTTTTCAGATTCCAAGCCATATGGTCCATCAGTATAATCCTCTGCCCAGATATTTGATTATCAAAGCTGTCTCAAAGCAAAAGCCTCAACTCTCCACTGGCCGTGATTCAGCCCCATCCACTACACAATACATTCTAATTCAGAGACAGTAACCAGAACAAAAGCATTTAAATTCTCTAGTGATCACATCTGCACCACAATACATCAGTAGAGGGAGATGCACTTGGACATATAAATGAAGAGAAATTTGAATGCGCAAACAAAAATCAAATAACCCTTCATTTCTGAACAACACGTACTAGTTGAAGGGACGACACTTTTATACCTGATACTGATTAAAAAAGAACAAAAGATGGGATGTTTGAGTTGCACATCTGTTAACCTAATTACTAGCTTCTATTATACATAAATCAGCTTTATCCTCATGCCAGCTATTTTCGTTTTTTTGACAGCTATTTTGTAAGTGACGGTGTGGCATCTCTTAAATGAAGACAAGCCAACACAATTGCTTATGTGGTACCCTATCAGAGAGAAACATCACATTCAAACTGTTTTACTCGAGCTATTAACTGGACTGTTGCCATGTATGCACTGCACAAAGCAGACCCTCCAATACCCTACAATCTACATGCTTTACAGTATTCATCCATGTACCTAGTTTCACTCTCCCACAGGGAGGAGGGGAAATTCATACCATTGATTGACTTCCATTGCCTTGTGTGAGGCCTTAAAGCTAATTGTCTCATAATAAATGCTGGGCTCATGCATGGAGAATAATGATTTTTTTTTTTTTGGTCTCATTAAGGAGAAGATGCCAGGATTTGAGAGCGTGAGGGTACACAGCAGTGAGAGACTTGATACAGCAGTCCTATGCCTGCTGACTGCACTGCACATACTAATGGGTTTATTTGGGTGGGTATAATTGGAAGCCCAGTCTTTACTGCATGTTTGCTACGCGGTTGCTGCACCCTCAGGTGAAATTATCAACATTTTGAAAAACTCCTACTGCCTTTGTGGACTGCACTGTACTGACAATATAACAAGCCTATACGAACGTAACCCAAGCTGTAATTATATTTCCCTCCACCAGATAGTTGGGACAAATAAGTACCATTTAAACATAATTTCAAGGAGACAGGGTTGCAATATAATACATTAAGAAACTAAAATATCCCTCTAAGTAACACGAACTTTATGATACAATGTATAATTCCTTAATAATACATATAAACATCACATCATTACATCACCTGGTGATTCTTGTGGGTTATGAAGAATTTCATTACATTGATAACGATGCATTATTGCGGAAAGAATAAAAGTCAATGCACTGCAGTGATTATGAATTAATGATTATGTTCAGTCAAAAGTACATGCTTTAGACTTGCAAAGCAAAACATATATACATATTATGTATAGATAAGGCATGCTCAACAATTTGGTGATTTACAAAATATTGAAAAATAAAGGGAGGAGATTTAAATTAAATTTGTCAATACTGGTAATTTCAGAGGGAACTGGAAAAATATTTGTTCAAACCTTACTTTCTAGCTGTTTTTTTTTTCTTTTTCTCAGAGGCCAATAACTAGCTCTGTGTAACTTTCAGTATAGCAACAAAAAGTCAAGTCCAGCAAGTAAATGCATGTGTTTTCTAAAGGCCAATATCAATATTGACAGTGGGGGAACATCCTGTGGTTTGGGCTTGCAGCTTCCACAGCAGGTTGGTTTTCCAACAGTCCCTGCTTTGTGTCTCTACCCACTGCGCCTGCAGCCACACTACAGCTTCTCCATGAGACCGGTAAGTATAGCTCCATTTTCTCACATAGCAGCCTGCTGTTTTATATGAGAATGACGCCTATGCGACACTTGCCTTGCCAAGACAAGTTTTCTATTTTTCCGTCGTTATTGCACAGGTTTTTAAGTCCTGACCTGATCCTCTGACGATGAGAATGCTGTTGAGGGTCTGTCTCATTGCAGCTCTGCTCGCATGCTGTAAGTAGCCTACTGTATGCAGAATATACACTATATGAGTTTTAACATGCATCATAACATATAGAAGTATAAAGTGCAACATATAATGCCTGGAGTGTTGCTGTTTCATGCACGTGCACAAAAAAAAAACAAAAAAAAAAAACACACAGCCACGTAGTACAGTCAAGCATGTGTAGGCACTCCCACATCACATACAGCAAATTGCCATTCAACACTGTACACTAATAGGATAACCATTACAACAACAATAAATGGTGTATAAATATCTGCGCACCCTTGGAGATTGCAATGAAGTGAGCCCTATTAAGAGACTGTAAACTCCTGTAAACACAAACCTTGGGGGTGTTCAGGTCAATAGCTAGAGTCAGTGTGTGTTGTTACAAGTGGGTGAGACATTTAAAGTATGATTGAATGTTTAATGTAACATTACATCATCGCGTCTAACTGCAAAGCTTAAGGCAAACTTTTACTCTGAGGGTGTGCTGAGCAACATGAAAATGAGACGGCCATCTTGTTACCAAATGAAATGATTCATGCCGCACAATGGAAACAACTCTCACTACTGTCGCGAGAGAAGTAACCACTAATATTGCTTGCCGGCCAATCAGAACTATATATCTGTGTTCTTTCTCTTGTGGGTGTGTGTGTGTGTGTGTGTGTGTGCGTGTGTGTGTGTGTGTGTGTGTGTGCGTGTGTGTGTGTGTGTGTGTGTGTGTGTGTATATGAAAAGACTGAGCAGCATGTTTTTTTCCACTCCCTAACTAACTTCACATTCTTCTTCCATGTCCTCTGTATTTATCGGAAACCTCAAGCAATGCTTAATCCACTGTTTTAAATTTCAGAAACTGAAGTGCTGACATGTACTTTGAAGACAATGATAAAAGTAATTATAACACTAAAACAAATTTGTTTTCTTAAAATTTTGCTTTGTGCATGTTTTGTTGCAACAAACGTGTTAAGGAGTAGCCTGTTGGATGGAAGATTGATAAATATGCATATAGCTAAATTTGGCTGTGGCTTGCCACAGCAAGCACACTAATTAAGTATGAAACATAATAGTAGTGTTCCCCAGCAAGTACACTAATTATACACACAATATCAGATGTGGTGTGGTCTTGGCTATGAATTTATCAGCACAATGGTGAGAGACTGAGAAAGGGGTTTGGTTTCAAGGTTTCGGCACCGTGGGGAGAGAAAAGTGAGACTGCTTTGACTCAAAATGCCTTAACAGCCATGTCAAAACACCCTAGCAACCATCCAGCTAAACACCCAGAACATCATATTTACTGCATCGCAACACCCTGGCAGCCCCGTAATGAAGCAACCACCTAGCAATGCGCTAACAACCATTTCGCAAAACACCAGCAAAGTCTTCCTCCAAGCTACTCTTGCCCTGGCAACAAGCACATACCCTTACATTTTTTGTCACAAAGTTTTGCCTTTTCTAATTTTAACTCACATGCTGGGGAGAACTGCTTTTCCATGCCACAGCCAGCTATCCTACCCTTCTGCCTCCCAGTCATTAAGGCCCTCTGGTGATAAGCGGCTTCTTTCAATCACTGAGCCCAGCGTGTGTTCTTGTGCCAGGGCAGCGTGATTGAAATATTTTCTGTGCCTCTGAGGTTAACAGCGTTAATGAAGATCAAAGACTCGTGTCTGGGCAGGATAATTAGTATGCTGTCAGAATGAAAACACACTATGAATAACTGAACTATGACTCTGTCTGTCTATATGGACAAGTATCACAGTTCTCAACAAGTGTGGCCAGGCAGTGAGCTAAGACATACCAAGAGACTTTGTGCAAATGTTAAGGAAATTATAAATAACCACATCTAACAAAAATGTTACAATCAAAAGCAAGTTTTTCCATTGACATCCATCAGTTGTTAACGTGTACAAGATGTGCTTTTTGGCTTTCATTAATATATTACAGGGTTTTTATAACATTTTAAAGCAATGAGCAGTTGTGACTTGTATAATATAATAGCTATATCTGGATGGGTAATCTCAGTACAGATGGTAAAATCATCTCTGTATCCCTTAGATCTTTAGCTCAAATTCTCTAAGATATTTCTTCAGCATACACCATTCTGAGTGAATTATTATTAATTCTAAATACTAAGGAACTGAATCCAAATATCAGTCTCACAAACATTTGATTTAATCCTTAAACCAAGAAAGTCACATTCACATTTTAATCCCCCTCCTTAACTCTCTTAATTCTAACTCTCATCGCTTTCATCTCTCCTTCAGATGTCCTGTTAAGTTGTGCTTCAGAACATAACAAGAGGAAAGGTGAAGAATTTCAAAGCAATGACAAGAACGCCAACAGCAACATCAAGGTGAAGAGAAACTACACAACAGCACATGACGGGAGATCTAAGGTTGTGACTCCGAGGAAGAAGCTCAAGAAGACGGGAAGTAAGATAGGGCCAAGAGGTGACAACAGCTGCACCAGGCTGGGAGGCATCTGCCAACCAAACCGATTCATCTGCCAAGGCAGGTACCTAAAAGACAAGTGTTCAGGGATCAAGAAGCGGCAGTGTTGTATGCCAGGTAAAGTGACACACGTTACACACATAAATCCAAACGCATACCTGCATTCACTGACTTCCAGTCTGAGTCATGAGAAAATGTTGTGGTGGGTGTGGGACTGTATCAATGTCTAACACACCACTCGTATGAAAGACATCAAAAAGTGACATTTGAATAGTGTCTTTCTGCTGTAATTGACCTTATTTCCACATGAATAGAACATGAGGTGACTCAGACTCAGTAGATGTTAAAATACCCTTTTCTGAATATCATTTTTATGCTAGGCCATTTTGGAATGCAATGCAGCAGCCTTTGAATTTTGTGTGTTTTGGGAAGAAGTGTATTGGACTTTCAAAAGTGTAACGTAATTTTCTTTTTCTTTTTTTTTAACCTGACTCTGTAGTTGGAGCCTGGAGTGTCCTTTGCGCTGGTCACCACAACAACAGAGTGAGGGCATGCGATGTGCACGGCTGTGGAGCTTTCAACTCCAAAAGGTGATTCTATCTGATCTGTTGTTTATGCGTCTGTTGTCTGCTTTCTAACGTGGATGAACGAGGAGACTTAAGCTGTTCAGGCCGTATGTGGGCATTTATTGAGATACCGCGTGCAGCAGAGTGACAAAGCACCAGCAGCAGCCCAACCTCCCATTAAATACCCTCCCACTGACTAATTTGGGGTAACTAAACCATACTTTACACATTTGTCCAACTGAATATCTACATACAATACAATTGGCTTCATAAATCAAAAAGCAATTGTAATATTCCATTTGTGTAAAATAAGCTGCTTCAAGAAAACCGATGTGAAAGAAGGGACACGCAGTCCTCCCTTCTGCTTCTCAAACATGGAACAGACAGGAAGTATAATTTGCCCCTGACTCCACAGCAGATTCTTTTGCTTGGAGAAGAGGACACGAGTGAGTAACACAGGTAACATAACAAACATTTCGAATGCGTTAGCAGTGCCATGACACAATAGACGGCAAAAGAACTGCAGACCGATGAATCTCCCTATGTTGCCCAAACATTAACCAACCCACAGACTGACATCCACCCTGAGACAGAGGATAATCACTATCGCATACATATTCATCAAAACTGTTCACTTTGTGGCTTGTGAAATATGACTAATTGAAAAAGGCCTTTCAAGATGGCTTTGTCATGAGAATTTTTTTCTGTCACTCCTCTTACAGAGGTAATGGCCTCCATAAAGCAGTGGACCTGGTGTGCGATGACTATGGTATTGTCAACGCTCCATTCTCAGGAAATCTGGCAGGTCCAGTGAGTCGGAAAGACCCAGCGGGGAATCAGTATGATGGGGTCAAACTTCTCAGTGATGGTAAGGAGGACGAGATGATAATACAATACTCGTAAGGGAGCGCAGCAAGGGAGAGACACCTCTGCAGATTTTTACCATTTAAAATTATAGAATCCAGTCTCTGAAAATGTTATAACAACCAACACTGACATATCAAAGTCAAGATTTTTGATAACTGTTAACACATAATAAATAAACGAGACAAAGAGCCTACAGCCACACTAATGGCCTCTGTGGAGCATTGTAAAGAAAACCATGATGTTAGATAAACCATGATGGTGTTCGATGAAAAGTCACCAAAGTTCACAAAGAACCAGGAACCAGAAAAAAAGGAAACAAGGAAAAGGCAAAGATCACCAAAGGCAATATTGTATTGTCTGTGAACCATGAATGTCTAACAAAATTTGTTCCAATCCATGTGGAGATTTCTACAAGTAAAAAAGTTTGACCTTCTGATGGTGCTAGACAAAAAGTTGAGAAATAACCAAAGTCATTAGGACTCATCGTCTGGGCACCATGGATATCTGTGTCACATTACATAGCAATCATCAGATAGTTGAGATATTTCACTAAGGAACAAATTGCTGGACCAACCAACATTGACAGTGCCAGCCCTACCACCACACAGCTGCCTGCTACAACAGAAAATAATGGCAATGCAGGTTTTTATTAAACCATTGTAATCTTGTACTCTTACCTCTGCAAGTTAATTCCTGTAATCTATACTGTATAGGGCCATGGCTAGGGCAAAGGCGATGTTAGGTTATTATGGAGAAGGTAGGTGGGGATGAAAAGGAGAAGTGATTTAGAGGGATTAGTCAAGGTGTTGGAGACGGGGGCTGAGATTCCATTGAACTCCTGGTTGCCTCTAACATCTGGACCCAGCTGCATGTGAAACCCCATCAAAGGCTGTTCATGAGTAATGACCCCCATAAGGGCCATCATCACAGAACAAAGTAATGCATCTGCATTTGTGTGTCTGTATCGATGGAGCCCGCCGAGAAGGACGCACACATGCCTTTGCAACATACAGTATATGTCTGCATATGTGCTTGAGTGTATTTTGAGCATGCTGAGTTGATAAGGTGCTGGCGTGATGAGTAAACATCATTAGTCCTCATTCTGCCTCTACCCCTAATTGAACTGTATTATCAGAAGAACACATGTACTGTCAGCTCCTTTCATCTCCGGGTAAAGCACAGACATGATTAGACATCACAGAGACACATTACCTCGCCATGATACCCACATTAATGCTGAGACACTGATCATTAGGAGCTCATAGGATTTAATGATGCTGTTTGCACTTGTTGTAGACTAGCCTACTTTTAGGTTGTTTGTTTCCAACTTGGCACCTTGCTTGTTTTTGTCTGCAGAAGGGTGAAAGAAAGATGTTAAGGTAGTTCTTTTTTTTAGGGTTTTAAGCCTCTGTCGAACCATTCGGAAATATAAATGAGCAATTATAAGTAATCTTTCAGTAATCTCCATATTTCATATTTGTTGCAGGGCCAAAGAGCTTTTTCATCGACATGGGTGCTATGCATGTGTACAAATTGTATACAGCACATTAAGTGGGATTCATAGCTTTTAAGAAGCAGTTGCCCAAGGTGAGGGGGAGGCTAAAGCTCCCTAACTCCTTTGTGTCTCTCCAACAAACAATGATTTTTTTTTTTTTTATTGATCAGTCATTAACGCCTATTTTACACATCCATTTACTTGTAGTGTAGAAATAGCTTTCTCCTGAGGTGTTCTTTCTTTCAACTGAGCTGCCCCGAGATAACAGGGCTTTAATGTCCTGAAGACTGTCAGTTTTTTTTTTTCTGTCTCATCCAGTTCACTGTGTGAAGCTCTTCAACATCCGTCCATACCGTTACATCGGCCCAGTGGCTCAAGGAGAAGCCTTGGGTTATCTTTTGCCACTGCAGGAACGCTTCTCCGGCATCACCTCACACCTGCAGCTGCAAAAGTGTGACGGCACTGACCCTTCACCTTTTATATGACCTCTAACTTTCATCTTGCGTGCAAGTTGTGACCCCTCACCTTTAGAAACACTTAACATTTGACCCATGACCCTGTTCATTTAACCCCGGCTGCCTAATTATGATTATAACACCTTATGTTAGCTCTGACATTTCTATGTGATGAAAATGAGCAGTTTTCATTCATGATGTTTTCATTTTACATTTAACTTCTAGCCTGTGATGCAAGAGTCTCAATACTCCTTTGTCTACAGACTACAGCCAAACAAAACTTTAGTCTCTCTCTCCAGTGACAGCATTTGAAAATGGGCCAACCCCTCTTCCAATCTTGTGATAGACAACTTTTGTGTGCCTGATGATCCATTTCTTAATTTTTTAACCTTTTGTATATTTTTGTATAGTAATTTTTCCACTGACTATTGTTTTGTTTTTTTTTGTTTTTTTTTTTTTACATGGACTCATTTAACAATTTTTACATCATCTCTTTGTATTTTAATGATGCAATAAAGTCCTTGTTTCATTTCTGGGTTTGATTAAAATTGTTTCTACCCAAAAAAATTAAGATGTGACAAGTTTAAACTGGGGAGTCATCACTTGCATAAGAAATAAATTATTCACTTTTCTCAATACATAATTCTAAATTCTAACTTGCTATGACAGTACTGACTGACATTTTCTCCCTCACACATCCATCATTTCATTTTATTGCTGCAGTCTATTCTAAGTGACATGCTTCTGAAGATAAGGGAGAACTGCCACATGTACAGTATTAATGTAATGAGCACAACACACCAAAAGATGGAGCTATTTTGCAACAAAATTGCCAGTAAAATCTCAAACTGTCAACATTTGCAAAGATGAGACATATTACAAATGTAATTTTTTGAGTTCCTTATAAAATAATTACTATGCATAACAACAAAACTACAACACATAACAATGAAATACACTTATGAAGCAGTTTTCTGAAACAAAATTAGGACATTAACTGATAGATGGGCCTATTAACCACATGCAGACATGAAGATGTCATGTGATACAGCCTCAGTGAGTCAAACTTGACAGTTCCTTTCTTTAACTCCAAGTTTATATATGTATTTTTTTCTATCCTGCACCATTATAATATATTGATAGCCACAGTAGAGACTTACCCTTTTACCAAACTGTTAACAAGAAGCCTGTGATGCATTGAGGTTGAAAAGGTAAAGTTGCTGTTCTTATGCACAAGCAAGCAACAGTGCAACCATTTTTGTCATGTTATGTTATGTACAATTTTCATGAAACACATGCTCTTTCCTTTTAGACATTTGTGTCTAAAAATGTATACATGGTTGAAATACTTAAAAGTAATGGGTACAATGTTAAAAGCAACTAGAAAATAACTCAATTGTTAAATGGTTGAAAGCCGTATCCTGACGCTATGTTTGAAATAGCTCAAAGCAAAGCGGTTGAAATAGTGAACTAATACGTGATAGATAAATAGTTGAAATAACTAAATGAATATATTGTTGAAACCACCACCTTTGCCACCCTAGTATTAACCTCGGTTGTTTTGCTGGAAACCAGCAAACGTAAAACTTCTATGGACGATCGTTACTGCCACTAGATGTAGAACAAGATCACCAGCATCTCAGACCAAAACAAATGCTTCCTCGGCCACACTTCCGCCCTCCGTTCTGCCACAACCCCCTCTCCCCCTCCACGTTCTCAGTCAGCAAGGTGTTATGAAGCCCAGTGGAAGAGCCCACTAAACACACAAGAATCACAACTTAATAAAGTTACCTTGTGTACACGAGAGCCAACAACAAACAATCCAGCCACAACCATTAGCCCAAGCTAACATTGCCGTGATATGCTCCACAGCAATGCTGGCAGTAAACCAGCTAGCAATAGCAACATTTGCAGAACTAATACATAATATGGATAACAGCAAATTAGCTAATGTCATCATGCCGTCTATAGCATGTCACTAATGCAAACAGACATGTAACATTACGTAGCCATCAAGTTACTTACACGTAGTGGGGAGGAAGCCAGTTCCGAGTCAAGCTGGAGCCTTTAGCATCTTGTAGAGTTCTCCATCTCCATAAAACCAGACCTGTATTAGCTTAGCTTTCCGACTGGGAAAGAAGTTCAGTCTTGGACTGGACCGATGGGGTGGGCCACATGAATAACACGGAGGGAGCCGTAAAAACGTTAAAACTTAGATATACTATGGATGTTTTGACAGGCCACCGGCATACCAGTATGGCCTGTATACCTGTGCATCTGGTAGCATTTCTTTCCTTATCAGAGACCTTTCAAGACGAAAATGTGGCTTCTTCAGTGCAAGAACGTATGGACGGGTTTTCACCTGAACCCTGACTACCCACTGTGCCATCTGGCGTCGCCTATGGGCGTTCCCTGTGTCTTTATAAACTTGGAGAGGGCAAAGGTGAGGGACTCACATACACTAACACGCACACGTACATGCACTAACACGCACGCACTGCCAGATACCATAAGCAACGAATAGAGAAACTCAGATAACAACACGACCAAAAAAAATTTAACACCATGTTTAATCTTGATGTGAATAACAGTAAGTCTCTGAAGCTCATTAATGATGATAAGAAAGCCCTTAAGTTAGTTTCCTTACTTGATATAGGCCTATTTAAGTTAATTTGAGATGAGCCCCTCTTATTTTTATGTGATGTAAAAGCATACAGATGGGGTGTGACTTCAGTTCAGGATGTCAGTAATCTACTATGTCTTAATTGTTTGCTACGATATTTTTTTTTTAAATACATCTCTGAATCTCGTTTACAGAACTTTTAACCAAACCTCTAAACATTGACAGGATAGATGTGGGCTGTGAGGTTATCTGTCTACCCTCTTAAAAAACATTTATAAGGCTATAAAAGAGATACACAGTAACAATATTAGGTAAGAAGAGTTACAAATCTGTTGATGTGCCCTTGAGCATGATACTGCTTTTGAGGACAGCCCATCACACTCGCAGTACTTATTTTCTCTTCAATATGAATCCATAGAGATTTCACTTTTCACTTTCCTTTTTTGAATATGTCTAGCTACCCTGAGGATTATTGACATTAAAAGTGTTTGATCAAAATGTTCACACCCAGTGGTACAGCTGTAAGAGCCTGGATTGAGCCCTTGGCTGAGTGCAATCTGCAGCCTGTGGTTTGCTCTGACGCTGGAGGGGTTGGTCCATGGAGCATAATAATGGTCGTCCCAGTCACTCAAATGGGAGTGGGCGAGCTGGGATAGGCTGGGAGTTTGGTTGGAGCCGTCAGCGGGACGGCACAAGGCACAAGGAGAGTAGGGGGGGTGGTTGGAGAAGCGAAGAGCAGACCGACCGAGTATTAACTTCTGGCTTCTGAGCGGCTGAATGTGGGGCAGGAAATTTGACGTAGCCAGCTGTACGGAAAATAGCATTTGTTGCTCTCGAAGATCGTGGATCTGACCGGCGCGGATGACAAAGGAGCGTCGCCGTGTGAACTTTCTCAGCCGGGTTTGATCGCTGGTATAAACCCAACGGGAAATTCATTTTTTTTTTCTTTTTTTTAAACTGAGACCTAAAGAAGAGGACATCATGCCACGGCGCACCGTGCAAGAAGTAACAGTGCAAGATGTCCAGAAGCGAAGGAATCCGAACAAACACTATGTAAGTCCTTTTTTTTTTGATAATCAAAACAACATCGATTTGATGCGTGAATTGAGAAACAGATCGAGGGTTTGTAATGCAGCTCTTCTTCCTTTCCTTTCGGGCAAAGTAAAAACAAAGAGAGTATCAAATTACAGTTCACCAAGCCAGACGAAATGGACAGAGAGACTCTCACAACATGGGATTTTTGAGAACTACTGGTCTGCATTTTATTATGGATTGTTAGCACCGCTGTCAATAGAGAAGCTGGTTTGTTAGATCCCAACAGCCTTTACAGTCTATAAAAGACAATAAACACTGAAGTTTGACACCCTTAAAGAGATACAGTCTCCTTTAAGTTGTTCACTGGTGTTTTTCTGGTAGACATTTTTCTAACTGTTGAATCCGGATGTTTAAATAACGTTTGCTTTGTCACTTCTGTATATGTGTCAGAACAATTTCTGTTTTCTTCTCCTTATATGATTCAAGGTCAGCGTTGTTGTTTTGGGTGCAATTAAGGGGCATCTCAGTGGATTTGGCTTATATGACCTATGACCCTCCCTTAGTCTACACATCTTCAAGTGACCCTCAGCAATTAAGTATCACACGGATATAATGTCAATATAGGCATTGTGCTATTACTACCAGAGGCTGCAATCCCCTTCAGTCCTGCTCATATGCCTACTGCCACGTGTGTGCCACCACAGAGGAAGGTCCCAGAAAACATCCTAATGGGCAAATCAGTGCTGTCCACAAACCATCCAGACTAATCCTCATGAGGATAGAGTTAAAAGTGAGCGTCCCAGCTTTGTCATGCCTCAGGCGTTTCAATTAAAAAAATAAAATAAAATAAAATAAAATAAAATACCTGCAGTCACTGATAAGCAAGAAGTCTTAAGGTCATCACAGTGAACACAAGGGAGTGTTTGAACAAGGGAAGGGCCTAAATATTACCATATGTCATGCAGCATTCGTAGCTTTATGACTCCAGTTTTTCAGTACAGTTACACAGCTCTCGTTTTTAACAAGTTTGAGTGATTTATTATGATCAGACATGGCAACTACATTGATAACTAGACTATTTACACAGAATATCTCTAGTCCTGCAGCTGATGTCGACGTTAAAAGTGACAATATCCTTATATGTATGAAAGATGTCATGCGATAATGCTGTGCTTATCTCATTAACAGTGTCTCTGATTGCATACAGTATCTGCCAGTTTAGGCGATCAGTATAGTATTACCATAGTGACATTACTGTATGCGGGGCAGTGGAAAAGTAGGTAGAGAAGAAGAATGTGTGGATATTTTTCCTCTTTAAGCTATCATCCCCCACTGATACTGCAGAGTTTGAGTGGGAGACAAAAATGTCAAAAAGACAAAGACTCATTTTTCATTTTTCTGCAATTCATGAACAATGGGGCTTTCATCATCATTTATGTTTGAGTCAGAGTAGGAGGGAGGGAGGGAGGGGGGTACATCTGGCTTAATTTGTCTGCAAAAGTGCGCACGCAGTTTAAAGTAACACGTATGACATCATCGGATGTAGGGAGCCAACAGTGAGAACCTCTGCCAAGTCCTCAGCAGGTGTTCGTGTTAGTTCCGTGTGCATGGTGTGCGCCTGCGTGTGCCCTCGTATGCATAATGTTGGTTTGCATCCATGTATATGAGGAGATGATGCCCGGGTAGAAGGACCAACAGATTTTATACCACTGTGGGTGTTAACGGTCAAGGACACAGAGTTCTCCAGGTCCTGTGACTTCTCCATCTGTCTGTTTGCTTTGTGGTGCAGCCCATGTTGTTTTGTGCCTCTGGTGCTCTCTCTACGCGTGCAGGCCGGACACTTTAAACCCTCAAGAACGCTCAGGTGTGGTTAAGGATACAAAAAGCAGCTTAAAGCGCATCTGAGCTGAGCCTATTGCAAAGAAAGGAAACGGCGAAATCACATTCCCGAGAGAATGATACGAGAGCATTTTATCGCTAATCAGCAGCGTTTCATTGACTTGTAGATAGAATTGTAGCTTTCACTCTCTTCCTCAGACCCATGGCTTCGGTCTCACGCTGCAGCAAGAATATATCCTGAAAACATATTTAAGGGACCTGTTTTAATGTAAAAATGGCCCTCCATTAGTTTAAGTTTAAACGCACACACTGAATTTGGAATATAACTCTTTTTATTTGATAAAGACAGACTCCCTGCTGGCCTACAAAGCTGTTGTAGTTGGTCCATCCATTGCTGTATCTGACTTTAGTGCCCTGAAAGAGAGAGCGAGGCCAGAGAAGGTCTGGGAGCGGGGCCAACAGCATTCAGCCAGACACACCGAGCCACCCGGGAGTTTCCAATCACCTCCCTGCCTCTCCCCTCTTGTTCGTCTGTAGGGAAGAAAAAAAACTGTGTCTTTTGCCTCCAGGCTGCAGTGATTAAACTAGAAGCTTTTGCTTCAATGCTTCATGATGTGTCAGAGCTGTTGATATGAGTGTGATGGAATTTGAAGTTGGACATGAGCAAAAAGTTCATTTTCAACTTAATGTAGAGCCACAAATGATAAAGGTGCCAACCAGTGAATCTCTGTATGCTAATGGCGTTGGGGTAGCATGTGGCATTGCGCTGTGCTGAAGGCTTCACGACAAACTCATGACCTGATGTTTCCAATCGGTGTGTTTGCTGCTCAGTGTTTCTTTAACAGCTATAAAATTTGAAAACACGGCATAGTCAAATCTGCTGCACCCATGCAGGATCAAAGCTTCCTCTTCAGCAGGAAGTGATGCCAGACGACTGGGAAATGAAATAATCGGATATCCCAGTTGTGTTCATGAGAGCGGATGGTGACAGTGACTGCTGCCTGATGTCTCTTGGCAAGCTTGCCTTTTGCTTTTCCTCATGCCGCCCTCACTAGGAGTCACAGCACTGCCAATTACTGGCACTATGAATCAGGAGTGATGCCCCAGGCGCTTTGGATTATCAAGTGGTTAACAATGATGGTTATTTGTTAGTTCACATGTTCCACTTGTTTTGATTGTTTTTTTGTCTTCTGCTTTTCCAGGTTTACATCATCAAAGTGTCCTGGAGCGATGGCAGCACAGAAATCATTTACAGACGCTACAGCAAGTTCTTTGACCTGCAGGTGAGTTAAGTGTGTGACTGTGTGTAAGTGTGTCGTGGTATGTGATTTTCTCTTTATACTGTAGGTGTGTGTACAGTTTCATGTTTTAGGGGGCAAGGAATGTGACAGGTTCTAATTTTTCCACCGGCAAAAACCAGCACAGGCCAGGAAGGGAATGGAAGTACTCTGTCCATACAACACCATCCACCCACATGACACTGGTAATTATGTTGTGCGAAAGGAGTCGGAAAATGTCCCAGTGCAGTTAACTGAGGACAGTGATGAATGCAATGGCCGCACTGATGACCACAGAAATGTCTGAATCATTCTCGAACGTCATGCTGGCAGTGTGTGTTGCACAAGGAGGGAATCTCATTAGTATCCTAGTTTCCCTTCCTCTTTCGAAGGTAATGGATCTGCGGCCCTGGCCGCAACTGAGCTTAGAGAGCATGGACTCAAGGAAACCCAGAGAGGCAACCGCTTTTAATGAGCACGTAGTCAATTTAGGCAACGTATACTGTCAACCTAATTGGATTAAATGCCTTCTAATTGATTAGGATGGTCAAAGCGTGAGCAATGAAATAAAGTATTTCAATGGTCCGCCCAGGTTTTCTGCACCTGCAAATGTAATGCTAACCAGGACAATGTAAACTATTTCATGACTAATTTCATTAGTGTGACTTAAGAATATAAAAACCTATCCACAGTCTTGCTCTTATCGCTCTCATAATAGTTTTTTAATTGTATCACCTTTCTATTTGTTGAGGCGTTTGCTAAATGAACGACTACGTATAGCTATGAACAGTTATCAGAGTAGTGTAATGAAAGACGACTGAAGGATGGCAAAAGCATTGAGTAAGGGACGTTGAACTGTACTACAACAACACTCTTGTCCCCTCCGACACAAGCAAAGACACCATCCCTTTCTCTCATTATTTACATTACATACATTAATACATGGACACAAATAATAAAGTGGCATTTTCATAAAAGAAACAAGAAAGATGGTAATCTAAAAGTTCTACTTAGGGCCACAACCTAGCCTTCTGTAGCTATTCTCAACTACACACTGTGTATTCAATTCAGAACATTTATGTATGTTTTGAAAATTGCAACTTAATTAAATTAACATTGGTGAGAGATTTACAATGTTGGAAATTCAACAATTTCGTTTCATCGTCCGGCCACAGCACTGCTTTGCTTTTGATGCTTTGGCTCAAGAAGAGGACTGTTTAGACTCTGAGTGATGTGACGAGGTGATAGGAGGAGATTATGAGACCTGTAGATATCAGAGTTTTTTTTTTTTTTTCCCCAGTATGAGCCAGAAAGTGAGCTTTGAAAGCCAGAAAATCTTAGCACAGGATTAAGTACTTGCGATATCAGAATCAATCACAACTGTACATGTTGTCATTTGTGTGCTAGGAAACAGTTTCTAGTCATCCATAAATATTGATAAAAACCCAGTTAACTGTCACAGATCATCATTTCATGTTTATTTCATCCATACTTAAGCATATTACCAGCAGAAATCCCTTGTGACATCACTGAAACAAACTGTATTGGATCATTGGCACAGAATGAGTCAAGTATACATGAAATATTTTCAGCAGGGGTGTTCCTGACTGGTGTTTACCCCTCACCATGCTTTCAGCTGCTTCCTGCTCTGTCAACAGCCCGTGGGTGGACTCTCAGTGGTGAGGGAGATGTAGATAAACCCAGCTGGAGAGAAAACAAGCCAGTCTCTTATCTCCTGTAAGGTTTGGCAATGACATATTATCAGCCATCTTGAGGCTGTGGTATTTCTTAAAGAAAAGTGGCAGGTTGGCGTGCTGAAAATCCCTCAGAATATTCGGTATTTCCCTCGGTATATACTGGGTGTGGACCTCTAAATGTGTAAAGTATTTTTGAATTTCTCTGGTGTTGGGGCACACTAATATGATATGACAGTATGCAGTGGAAATTAAACAGTATTGCTGCATTATCCTCCCAAAATATTTAGCAGCAGATTACATAATGCTGATGAAATCAAGAGGTGTTGTACTTAACTTACTGTGTTGATGCTATGTGTGTATTATTTTACAGTAAATAAACAAAACTCTACCAACTTATATACATGTTGTATCATGACATCAGCAGAAATGAAAAATAAGTAGGAGATAATAGAAAGGCAAAAATGCAGAAACAAATTATTAACACTAACAGGCACTAAAAGGTGTGCAACTTAACCAAACCGCTGCAGTGAGTCTCTCCAAAGTCCACAGGCAGCAGGAATCAGGGATAGTATCCACAGGCGAACAGGAACCGAGTCTACTGACCGCCTCTGGTTCAGCAGTGAACGCACACGTCCTATGGGGAAAACCCAAGATGAGAAAATGTATGTCAGTCAGTTTCTGCTTAAAGAAAGCAAAGCTTCACCACACAGTACTCAAGTGAGTTTCAGACACTGTTAGTCATGCTTTCATTTAAATGGCCGGCAGTTAGTTTGGAAACATATAAAAGGCGAGTAGGTGGGAGAAGGTGGAAGCTTTTGTCAGTGTTGCACTTAAGTGCAGGCATACAGAGGCAGTACGTACTATTGTAAACTCGACTTCTATTGAACTGTGTGCCGGCACTAATCATCGCAGGTGCCTGGCCAGGATAGTGACATAGAGATGAGTCACTCATTTCCTGTCATTACCATTTCTTCATTTCCTGTCATCCGCCTTTGCTTACTCCATCTTGTCCTGCCTTTTTCCCGTCTGCTCTGGTTCATCTCTCGTTCTGTAGCTTGAGTGGCTCTTATAACGGAGAAAAGATGGAACTGTTAATAAATAAATAAATAAAAAAGATACATAAAGTGTCTTTGGTCAGTCCAAAGCCTGAGAGCCAGACAGGAAGTGTTATTCATCACATCCCGTCACCACAGCTGGCCCAAGCAGCCGATGCTTCACTTCGTTAGCTTTTAATGTGGTCATTGACCACAGACTGTTTACTCACTGTCTGACTTTAACATGGTTTCTACATTTATTTAGGGGATATTCTATTCTAATCATTAGGCAGTTTTGAATCCACATATACATGTTTTATATTCAGATGACACTATAACAGGTAAAACCCAGACAGTGATCCTAATGATAAGAAAAACACACATAGATAATTATAATATCGATACTAATATGCATTCATACTTCACCTTTTCAACAGTACCGCTGTTGTTCTAAATTAACCCAGTAAGGATTCTCCTGTCAGATTAAAGTGTTTACCTGTTAGTGGAGGTGATAAAAAAAGGGTCTAGAAGGAAGTCCTCCGTATCAAATCCATAGTCTGATTTGGAACAAGGCTGGGATCACGGCTTAAATTTCTCTCTAATTTTAATACGTCCCTCTCATCCAAGATATATCTGTTACTACTCACCCAGTGTTTTCCTGTAACACCCAAAAGTCTCTGTGTAGCTGCATCCCCATAGTAGCATGAAGGAGTTAAGTATTCATCGGATACTGGAGAAGGACTTTATGATTGTTTCCTGCACTTATGCATAAATGTATTTGAGCACAGTATGTGTTTAGTCTTGCAAACTGTTGAATATAGAGTGAACAAACTGAGCAATTAGGATTTTGATATAAAAGCTGTGGCTGTTTTTTTTTTTTTTTTTTTTTTTCCCTGTTTCAATGGGTTGCCTTGTGAACAGAAATAGACTGAACTGTTGCTTCAGAAAGATGGAAAGTGCAGAGTTTTTTTTTTTTTTTCTTTTGCCATGGGGTCATCCTAGCGGCTTTGTGATTTTATTTCCATGTCACTAAGAACAGTTTCCATGCTGCACACGTGTCCGCTCTATTTCACAAGCTCAGTCTTCCAGCATCCCCAATACAATACTTTGGATACAGGGTACACTTTTCTTTTTTTTTTTTACTTTAAAGCTGTTAGAAAAAAAAAACAATTCATAGTTTCTTGTTTATTCATACTTGTACAGCTGTCACATATTTTCCATCTGCAGTGATCTAGTAACAAAACATTTGGGGGGGGGGGCAGATCATTTTGCTTAGGGCAGTGGGGCTGCCTGTTGTATGAATTTCACAAAGCAGCTGTTCTTATTTCCTTTTTGTGCAAACTGCAAACTCTGTACTTGGGTTATTTTCATAAAAATGTACTGTATGCATCCTTCAACAGTGCAGTGTTCCTGGAACAACAACAAAAACCAAAACATGTGTTTCTACTCAGGGAACGCTGAAAGATAGGTACAGTATATTCTTCATGATTCAGTGAAATACACTTATTACAGAAGACCAAACATCCAAAGCTATACATCACCATGGCATTATTATTATATATTATTTGTATGTGTTTGTATAGGACTCCTGGGAATGGTCAAATGTGACATGGGAGTTGTTTTTTTTTTGTTGTGCCTCTGGGTCCTTAACCACGTGTTTTCATTGACCTGTCTCTGGTTTTTCAAATAACAAGTCTCGATCGGGATGAATCATGTTTTAGGGTAAATGTTGTTGCAAATGAACACAGTTGATATTCTCAGCACATGCATGTCTTCGCTTTAAGTGGTGAAAAACTAAACAGAAACTGATTGAGCCGCTGTCTGCTGGCGCCATAAAATACAATAAGATTGGGAGGTTGTGCTTCACGCCTTGTGATAGGGTGGTGCCACTTGTCTAGTGCATGCTGGGATAGGCTTCAGTTGCAGTGACCAACAATATAAAAAGTGGGTATAAGAAAGCCAACAGACGGATAGAAATGTGTCTTAGCAACAGGAGGACAGGTTGGGACAATATATGAAATTGTGTCTTACGCCTCCAATGGGAGAGCAGGAGTCCGGAAGTACAGCGATTAAACGCAGCCTCGTCATTGTGACATTGGCCCACCAGAAGAGCTGATGAGCACGGGGTAGATAATGCCATGGTCCTGTAACTCAGTTGTTACAAGTTACACTGGTGCAAATCTTGCTGTAACATGCAAAAAGCTTCAACTGAATGATAAAGTTAAAAAAAAGTCTCTGGCAGCATGTCTAGTCTAGCGGTTGGGTAATATGTATT